AAGAGTTTATCAGTTAGAGGGACAGGAGATCAGAGTGATGAGAAGCCTTGAGGCTGGGACATGGTGGTCTTCGCACAGAATAGCAAGAACATGGTGTGACTGGAGCAGAATTCTGGAGTGGAAAGTGGTCAGATATGAGGCTGGAGAGGAGACTGGCAGGCCTTGGTGAAGACATCCATCCTAAGTGTCCTATGTGCCTCATGATGGCATGAACCTTCTAGAGTTATTCTGAGAGGGTTACGTGACAGTGTCACCACAGTGCCCACCACATGGTAAGCATTTACTATGTGGTAGTCACCGTGATTGTTGTTATTGATGACAGGGCGATAGCGTTGAGAGAGAAGAGGACCAGGAATCAGAAAAGTAGGGCTCTGTTACTGTTTTGGAGGTTGCCAATCTCAAGGCACTAGCCAAGTAGCTTTGCTTCTTGCAATTTCAGTTGTGTCATATGTAAAATGGAGATGGGAAAATGTAAGATAAGGTAAATGACTGCCAAATTTATGTTAGCTTCAAAACCCCCTGCTCAAATGGAGTATTGAATAAGTCAAACATGCCCATTAGACACAACTGGAGTGATTGTGGTAGAGGTGGGCGTGGAGGCACTGATGGGTCTCCTCTTCCTTGCCACGGTGATCCCTCAGGGGGCTTCTCAAGGCGCTACAGAAAAACCACTAGACCAATGCTGAACATCATATGTCACTAGGGAGACACAGATAAAAACCACAATGAAACAGATCACAGAGGATTTTTAGGGCAGTGAAACTACTCTATATGATACTACAATGGTGGGATGTGTGTCATTGTATAGTCATCAAAACCCAGAAGATCTACAACTTGAAGGGTGAGCTCTAATGGAAACTATGGACTCTAAGTGATTATGGTGTGTCAGTGTAGGACCATCAATTGTTAGCATGTGCCACTGTGGTGGAGGACATCATAGCAAGGAAGGTTGTGCATGTATAGGGACAGGAGGTAGATGGCAATACTCTGGACTCTCTGCTCAATTTTGCTGTGAACCTGGACCGGCTTTAAAAAATTAAAAATTTAATTTAAAAATGTAAGCTTATTAATTTAAAACCCCCCTTTAAAAAGCACAATGAGATACCACTTCATACCCACTAGGAAGCTATAATTTAAAAAAAAAAAAAGACAAATGGTGGAAAATAAGGGTTAGCAAGGATGTGCTAAATGTGATATATACATGCAGTGGAATATTATTCATCAATAAAAAGAAATGAAGTAGTGATACATGCAACAGCATGGACAAATCTCAAAAGCATGATGCTAAGTGAAAGAAGCCTGATGAAAAAGGTCATGTATTCCATGATCTATTTACATGGCATATCCAGAACAGGCAAATCCATAAAACAGAAAGCAGAAAGCAGTGGTTACCAGGAGCTAGAAGAAGGGGGGACTCGGGAGTGAAGACTCAACGGGGATGGGGCTTCCTCTGGAGTGATGAAAATGTCTTAGTACTAGATGGAGGTGATGGCTGCAAATGTCCCAAATATCTCAGAATTATACACTGAACACGGTTAATTTTATTTTCTGCAAACTGTATTTCAGTTTTAAAACAACAGACTAGGAGCTCTCTACATTCTTTCCAGCTCCAATGCTCTTGCTGTCCTGTGCCATGGTCATGTATCATCTGTAATTCTGAAGTGGGTTGGCGCATGCAAGTACCCAAGAAGAGTCCCAATAGCCCTTATCACCATTATTCACTGAGCCCTGACGAAGTCTCTGAAGGGAAAAAAGCCACCCAGGAAAGGTAATTTTTAAAAGGATAAAGTACAGAAAGGGCCAGAGCATGAAACACAAAGTATGAATAAAACATAAAACAGGACTGGGGAGTGATAGGTACCGTAATGGAAGGTCCCTGAATTCTCCAGACTATCTCTGAGAGTAATGGAGACAATTATACAGTTGGAGAGTTAAATAGGGAGCCATTCCTACTCAAAGCCAAAGGGTTGGGCTCTTCATTGCTTATAAAGATTGAAAGAAAAGACCCTCTAGGACTTCAAGGGGTCTGCAGAAAGATCAGAAGAGAAGTCTAGACCTATGCTGTCCGATATGGTAGTCACTAGCCATATGTAGCTATTGACCACTTGAAACATGGGTAGTCTGAATCAAGATGTGCTTTAGTATAAGATACATACCAGACTTTTTTTTAAAAAAAAAAGAGTGTAAATATCTCATTAATTGTTTTCAGATTAATGTATGACAAAATGATCATACTTTAGATATATTGGATAAAATAAATATATTATTAAAGTTAATCTCACCTGCTTTTATTTTTTTACTTTTTTATGTGACTACTAGAAATTTAAAAAGTATGTATATGGCATTATATTTGGCTTGGACAGCACTCCTCAGTGGACCATTGTACTACTCCTCCAGGGCAGAAGTGGCGCTGTCCAGGGTCTCTTGGCAAAGACCACCCAGCCTAAAGCACCATCTGGGCACTCAAGCTCCCCAAATAACTGCTGGGGAAATGTGAGCACATCTTATCCCAAGACAGCACAACAAACAGAACCCATTAAGCAAAGCAAATTTTGCTTGTGGCCTGGATACAAACACAGGTGCAGCGAGAGCTTCAAGCTTTTTAAGCAATTCCATTTTCTCAGAAGGATGGTATGTCCACAGCATAGTGTCAGGGCAGGAGGGAGGTCCCGTATGCCCTTCCCCAACATCTCAATATGTCTCTCAGAATCCCAGAGGGTAGATGGAATAGCGTTTTTGAAATCGGCCAGGAAAATTGTGAAATGTTTATTTGATGGCAGGGTAAAAATTGTACATTTTCTAGTAAGGTAGAAAATAAGAACAAAGATCCAAATAGCCAGTCCCTCACACCGCCATTTTAGTCACAGTCCGCCTATGCTTTTGGCTGTGTTACAATATGAAATAAATCCCTTTATAATCCCTCACAGTGGCTCCAAAAAAAAAAAAAAAGTATTTTCACAAGCACCAGAGCAGACCCTTTGGGCATTTCTTCCCGAAAATGCTCATCTCTGCTCAAACCTCTTCCCCACCCCACCCCTGATTGCATCCTTTTACAGTACAGTGAACTGAAAGGATCTAGCACTGGTTCTGTCAAGTGGGGATGGGAGGTGGGGAAATATAGGGAGTGGTCCAAAAGGAATCCCTCACGCAAGCTCAATATCCTCCCCAAACTCTCCATGATCCTTCCCAGGTCACTCACCTCTGTTCATTTCTTCTTCCAACCGACACATGGAATTTCCTGTTTTCTGCCTCTTGTCATGCTCTCACATTGACGTTACCTAACACATCACGTAGTTCTTAGGGTCTTTGAGCGGCATGACACTCCCCCTGAATCCTCATCCCCATTCATAGCTCCGTATAACTTCATGTAACACTCAATAAATATTTGTTGAATGACTGAATGAAGTTGAATCTGGTATTTGCCAACTCTGATAAAATAGAGGGAATCGATGCCAGCCTCCCTACTAGAAAGAGAAACCGGACAGCTATATAAAATGATCTAAAGGGAAAATTGCATCCAACACTTTACTTCCAGGTCTCTGAAGGAGGCTGTTATAACAATGGACTATAAATACAGGGTGAATGGTGTATCTGTAAGGAAGCAATTCCAACAGTGGTCTGGAAGAGCCAAGAAAATCCAGCTTCTTCTCCCCGAGTATATACACAGGTGCGCTGTGTGGAATGAAATCCACTTAACTTGATTTTATGGACAGTGATTCATGCAAACTCAGTTTCAAACTGCTCAGCACGGCTCAGTTAAATAAATTACAGCAGGAGTAAGCCAGCCAGCAGTAAAGGCAAAAGACAGAAAATAAACTTGAGGTTGAGGACTGAAATTTTTGGAGTGCCTGCCCTGCCAGCATCATCTTTCTTCTGGGGGATTCTGAAGGGACCTCGGTGGTCTTCAAGGTCAAGGCTGTGATTTGACTGATAGGGTAACTGAGGCCCATGGAAGATGGAGTACATGTCCAAAGTTACTTAAAGAGTGATTGACAGAATCAGGGCTCCTGGGTCGCAGGTCGGAGCATTTCTTCATTTCGTCAGGCTCCTGAGTGTGTTGTTCACTGCCATAGGGCCAGGCACACCGAAGAGACCCGGTAGATGTTCGTTGAATTAACAAATGAATGAATCTGCTAGGCTGGGGGTAGTGAGTCAGCCTGAGGGTTAGAAGCAGGGAGGAAAGATGAAAGATGACCCTCTAGAATAAACACCCGAGTGTTTAGGGATAGAAGGGCTCCCCCCCCAGATGCTCAGTGTTCCAACTCCCACCTAGGGAGACACAACCAGCCCCCTACTCTGGCCTCCTCTCTGTTGTGTGTGACAGGCCTGCCACAATGCTCCATCCCTCCCTTTAGTGACTCCCCCTGAGGCCTCTAGTTCCTTCCTTTAGGATTAGGGCATCACTGCCCAGGAATGGGGATACGTCAGTGGGGATGACTTTGCCTCATTAACGCCTTAGCACCTACTGGCCCTGAGCATGCAGTTGTACTATAGTGACATCCTTGGGGTGTTCTGTGAGATACCAACACATTCTTAAAATAAATTACCCATATCTATTTTTTTCCTAAGCTAGCTGGAATTCTTTTTCTTCCTTGTAACCAAAAGATTCTTACACAAAATAAAGGCTCTTAGTAATTGACGCAGTGGATAGATAAATCTAAGGTATGGCAGTTTTAACACATGGCTACAAATTCTTTGACAACTGTCCCATCAAGAATTGAAATCTACCTACCATCCCCTTGGATCTAAGCAGACTCGTGATGGTCTCAACCAATAGAGTATGAGAGATGTGAAGGCATATATGAGTCTTGAGGATAAGCCATAAAAGGCCATGCAACTTTCAACTAATTCTTAGAGCACTGCGCTACCCCATAAAAAGCCCGACTGCCATGAAGCTATCATACTCTGGACAGGCTACGTGTTGGTGTCAATAGTCCCCAGCCCAAGCACTAGGCTTATGTGAAGGAAGAAGCTTTTAGATGGCTCTAGCACTTGCCATTCAAGTCCTCCCAGCTGAAGGTCCAGCTCTCCAGGAGCGGTGACAATCCATCGCACCATGCCATCTCTAATTCCTGACCTGTGGAACATATGAATAGAAGAAAAAAAATGCTGATTGTTTTATGTCATTCAGTTTGGGATAGTTTGGTACGCAACAATGAATAACTGAAACAGAAGTGTATAAAGGAATAAGAAAAAGGCCAAGAGTATGAACATTGTTCAGCCGGCGTATAGAAAGGAGGCACCACGGAATTCCAGTTATCAGTCTGAAGACACAGGAGGCTGGTAGCCTTGGAGCAGGGATAGGAGTTGGCATAGGTGATTTGTTACAGAGAAATATTGTCTTCTTTGGTCTACACCTGGGCCAGCTCTGGGAGGAGACCTCTCTGTAAGATGAGAAAGCTGACACAGGGAACAAGCAGCCTGCTCTTTGTGCTTTAGAGGTTCCAGCTTGCTTCCTCAGCCACACTCCTCAAGACCATGAGCATCAGATGGGAGGGGAGGCATTGTAGTTTTTCAAATGCTCCCATGCCTGGAACCCGAACTCTTTCAGTTGCAATGGACAGAAATCCAATTTAACTAGCACAACCAATATATGAACACTATGACATGTAGCTTGTGATCAAAATGCAACTTTAAATTTTACTCAGTGGAGAGTGATGGCAACACACTATCCCTGAGTGGTCCAGCCCTGAAAGGCTGTTGTTGGCATGAAGTTAGGTATTGTCTTGACCATCCTCTTGGAGCATATGCTCCTCTTGGAGTATAGTTCTCCTGTGCTTCAATAAATGGACATCTTTCTTAGGTGACAGCTTGACATTTTGCTGCGCTGAGGCCAAGTTATACCAGAGTCTCTCCACCATCATAACCTACTAGCTAATACTCTGTCCATTAGATATAACCACCATAGTATGTATTATCTGTTATCACAACCATGCTATAAAACAAATAACCACAGAACTTCAGTGCCATATAGCAATTGACATTCTGCTCACCAGTCTCTGGGTCAGTTGGGTGGTTTCACTGGGCTTAGAGGGATCATTCACACATCTACACTCAATAGTAGGTTGGCTTAGGAGGCTCGGCTGATCTTGGCTGGGTCAGGCTCTCTCACATGTCTGAGGCTTTGACCTGGCTTTGATTTCCATGTCTTATTCCCCATCAGGCTAGCATAGACTTATTCCCATCATGATCAAGGACCAAGAGGTAGAGCAAAAGTCAGCAATGTCTCTTGAGGCCTAGACTTGAGACAAGCACACCATCACTTCCACCACATTCTATGAGCCAAGGCAAGTCACAAGATCAGCTCATGCTCAAGGGTTGGAGAGATATCTTCACTCTTGAGTTTGGGGTAGGAGCCTGCAAAGGCAAATTGAAAAAGGCATGTATTAGGAAGAATTAGAGCCATCTCTGAAATCAGTTTCCCATATCATATTTGCCACTTGGCAGCAAAATAATTTTATATGTAAAGTTTAGCAACATGCCTAGGACAGGTTTGCAGTACACTGGAATGCCAAGGTACACAGATAGAGAATTAGGGGTATAATAGTTGAGAACTGAGAGTATGGAGTCGGGACAGCTGGATTCCAATTCCTACTCTACCACTTACTAAATGAGCTCAGGCAACGTTCTTAGCCTTTCCATGTCTCAGTATCCTCACCTAAAAAATGGGCACAATAACAGCCATCCAGATCATAAGGTTATAAAGATTAAGTGGTAACATCTACTATGAAATCCTTAGCATAGTGCTCACCATGACATAAGTGTTCAGTAAATAATAAATGATAATTACTAATTTCATCATAAGGAATCAAAGCAGGAGGTGTACTGCCTAGATCTACCCTGACACCATTGCCACTATCACTCCTTTCAGCTCACCCTCAGGAAAGCCACTGAGTTCTGTGAAAGGTGGTAGGCAGATTCATGGAAGGAGAAAAAAAAATATATGAAGGATCAGTGCTTGTATTCATTCATTCATTCATTCATTCATTCATTATATGTCCCTATGTGCTTTCCAATTTGCCTCCAAAAAACAATAGTTTTGAAGTGTGCTGGCATTAGCAAATAATTTCACATGTGCCCAGAGAGTTAGTCCCAAGGAATTTTAGTACATTATTGCTGGTAATAGTAAAAACCAGAAATCACAGGAGACTGACCAAATGAATTATACCTTTTTATAGCGAAATACAACGTGGCCATCAAAAATTGCCATGTAAGATATCTAATGATGTAGGAAGATGAGGTGGAGAGGTATTGCTGAGAGCAAAAAGCAAGGCACTAACAGTGCATATAGGGTGATCTGCTGTTTGGGTTCTCTCGCATTACCTAGTGCAATTGTCGGCTGCAGGGATTCCATCGTTCCTTCTTGATCCTTGCTGATTCAGGAGGTGGACATTTTGGCAGCCTCTTCTCCCGTGAAAACATGGTTTTCCAGATTTCAATCATTTCGTGCTTCAATCTCCGCCTTATTCTAAATCTAATCATGAATAAACACAAAAAAGTGCTCATCTTCACCAATAGTCAAGCACAGGCATATCAAAACTATACTAAGATACCACCACACAGTTAGCCATGGCTAAAATAAAAAAATACTGACAATTCCAAGTGTTACCGAGGAAGGGGTTCGGTGGCAACTTACACACACCCCTTTGAAATCGGTTTGGCTGGTGCTATAAAATTCAAATATGCATGCCAGCTCTGTGCATGACCCGGCAGTTCACTCCTAGTTGACTCTCAACAGAAATGTGTGTGCAGGGCAGCCCAGGTGGCTCAGCACTTTAGCGCCGCCTTTGGCCCGGGTGTGATCCTGGAGACCCGGGATCAGTCCCACGTTGGGCTCCCTGCATGGAGCCTGCTTCTCTCTCTGCCTGTGTCTCTGCCTCTCTCTCTCTCTATGTCTATCATAAATTTAAAAAATCTTAAAAAAAAATGTGTGTGCATATGCACTGAAAGACACACATGGGAATGTTCATGGCAGCATTTTTCATAGTAGCGAGACCGGAAACAACCCAAATGTCCGTTTATAGTAAAAGTGACAGCTTGTGGTATAGTCATTACTATAGAGTAATGGAAATGAATAAGGTACAAGCAGCAAAGCGAAGTAGAACAAAAGAAGCCAGACATAAAAATATATGCACATGGCCCTGTTCATGCACACACACATAAGTAGTTCTGTTTATGTAAAGATTAAACATTTAGGACTATAGTCTTGGAAGCCAGCATAGTGGTTAACTTTGGGAAGGTTGGACGAGCCGTGGTTGGGGAAGAGCATGAATGGGGTAATAATATATTCTTGACCTGGGTGCTAGTCACATGTTATATATTTTATGATAATTCGTTGGGCAGTATACTAATAATTTCTGCGTACTTCCTGTGCATGTGACCTACTTTGTAATGAACCTTTTTAAATAAAATAAATTTAGGGGCATCTGGGCGGCTCAGTCAAGTTGACTTGGTTTTGGCTCAGGTCATGATCTCAGGGTCCTGGGATGGAGTCCCACATTGGTCTCTGCACTCAGCAGGAAGTCTGCTTGTGGATTCTCTCTCTCCTTCTCCCTCTGGGTGCAGCTTGCTTTCTCTTTCTCTCTAAAATAAATAAATAAATAAATAGATTTTTAAAAAAAATAAACTTAACATGGCTCATGCAATAACACATGGCTTTAGAGCACTTTCTAGGAGTTACTGTCTAACAAACTGAGATTGTCTGTCTTTGTGATTCCTCAGGGGGACAAGAGAGAGTTCCTCTGAGAGTGGCCTGAGTCCCCAGGGGAATTGGGAGTGATGCATAAACAACAGACACAGTCCGGCTCTTGAATCTGGAAGCAAATTCAGCCTAACGGAAACCCCAGTCAAGGAATTTCTTTGAGGAGCTCCGAGAAGGTGGGAGACCCACCCCAAAGCACAGGCCGGGGCTCCGGAGTCCCTCCCGAGGCCTGTGTAGCCTTTAGGCTGAACAAAGCCCTTCCCATCCCCACCAAGGAGCTGTTTGTTTCCAGAGGCCTGGTGGAACAGCTAACTGTAAGCCAGGGGGAGGAAGTTACACAATGGATGTTGAAATGTAGGCTTGTTGAAAAGTTGTCACTCGAGTAATGAATGCCCTATTTCCTGTTTTTTTGCCGAAAGTTAAATGCTGGGCATAATTAGCTAGTAAAAAAGCAAGCTTGGCCGCAGAACAAAAATAGCACATTTTGGGAGCCCGGGCCAATTAAAATTGTTTATGCAGCCATTTAGCAATATTTTTCTCCAAACTATTATGACTGGGAAATATGCAGCATGAGACTGGAAGGCAAGCTCCTCGGAAGAAAAATGGCCCACACACTGATCCTTTAAACAGCCTGCTGCTCTCAGGGGACTTTATAATAAGAATGAACACTTCCATCCTCCTGAACTCCCTGGGCCTCCTCGAGATCCTGAGACCGGCATCACTCACCCTCTGTAGCAGGCAGCTGTTGATGAGGTTCTGCAACCGGCTAATGTTAAGATTAGCCAAGCTCCCCCATGTGTTAGAGACGCCAGCCACTACCAACTGGGCCGCCTGGCGCAGTCATGTAAATCATCTGGCTGATGCCGTGGTCACACTGAGCGGATGAAACATTGTTGTTAATGCCCGGACAGGCTGGCTGGTGTCAGGAGTAGTTGCTAGAACTCGGGGAGCTTGCCCTTGGCACAGTTTGTCACGACGCAAGTTCCTCCTCTCTGCGCTCTGTCTCCAGCACTTTCCGTGTCTCCAGTGATCTTCCGCCCCGAGTAGGCGGGTTCCATCTCCCTTTCCCTCTCCAGCCTCCGGGTCAACACCCACTTTGAGATCCTTCACTTACACTCAGGTGTAATGGACTGATCACAGCTCTGGAAGCCATCACGACTCCTAGCTGAGAGATGCACTTTTGGTTATGGAATTGCAGGCATTGAGTTAGGGGATGGGGTGAGCACTTGGGAGGCAAGGGCCTTCTCAACATCTCTAAAGTTTCACCCAAGGCAAATAGGCTGTTTGACTTATCTCACCAGATTACCCCCCCCCCCCCCCCTTGGCTGAATGCCTCCGTTGGCTGACAGAAGAGAGATCTTTGGAGACCCTCACCTGGCTGTAGACATTGTCTCAGACGCCACACGCATAGTCTTAGCTCGGCCACCCCTGCGCCCCCCCCCCCCCCCCCGCCGGCCAGAGTTCTCCATCTCCCCAGCCCTAGGAATCGAGGTGAGCACCACCCATCTGGGAGACTGACTGTGGAAAGTCTTTTGCCGTCCCTGGGTCGGACAGGAGGACTCCAACAGCGGAAGTCAAGTCTCTTGTCTTTCTGCTCACATCCGGTTCATTTCATGTTCCTTCGTTCATACATAGTATTTATAAAATAGGTTTCTATATGGATCCAAAATGATAATTCAGCTTACTAGTAAGAGGTCTCCTTGGCTTGATCCCAGCTTCCCCGTCTCACCCTTCCTCAGACTAGTCACCCTCTTGAGTTTGCCAGGAATGTCTTTCTTCTGAAGCACACGCTGTACTCTTCTACTTCTATGCTTTGTTCAGACCCTGTCCCCTGCCTTTGCTCCTTTCTCTCCATGTATCCGAATCTGTCCCATCATGTGAGGCTAACTTGGACCCTCCCCCGCTTCTTGCCCACAAAGCCCTCTCTGACCACTTCTGGCTACAATGGTCTACTACGTGTCTGAACTCCTGTAGCATTTCTTCTCTCAGCCTACACACGGCCTTTGGTCAAAAACTGCCTTTGACGTGCCCTGCATTCTCTTGAACACTTTCTCTTTGGGTAGAAAGTAGAGCATAGCGTTGGCCTCCCTCCCTCCAGCCTATGAGCACTGGAGTCAGGAGGGGACCTCTGGTCAGCAGTTTCCGGGTCAGAACTAAATGAAGACCTGCCCCCTGGGTCCCCATAGGAATTTCCTGTTGATACCCCCTCCCCTTGCCTTCCATTTCCTCTCCTCCAGGCCTCACCTCTGAATCATGACTTTCCTTGCTAGCTCTTCCATTCTCTTTCTCCCCTCCATTCAACACCCATTGCAAGGCTTCAGATAAGAACAGTTGATGAGATCAGCTCCTGGAGACCTTCTTCTGGTTCTACAAGTACATGTGGTACAGTGGCTGTAACTCTTTGCAGTTAGCCAACCAGTGACCTCAAAAGGTCATCAGCCCCTTGTCACTACATTCATTCATTCAATCAATATTTTCCATGCCCTGTGCTGGGCCTCAAGGACACAGCAACAAACAGATCCCAGGCGCTGGTCTCCTTCTTCAAGGAGCTGGCTATCTAGAAGGTGATCCAGGCAAGTGAACAAGCAGTGACAGGACACAGTCTGTCTGATGGGAGAGGTTTAATGTTTCCCCTATGGATGAAATTCTGTTCTGTTTAACAATATCTGCTGAGAACCATAATCTTCTGTCGACCTTTCCAGAGGCTGTAGTTCCTTTGCGGTACACCCAAGTCTTAAAAACTCTCTGGTTTTTCCATTACCTATTAAACTTAGTAACAATCCTTTAAAAAGAGGCGGCCACATCACTTAGCAGGATTCTTCATGTACTTCAATATAATAATTAGGTCATGCTTCCAGCATTGCCTAGTGTTTAAAATGATGCTAGAAAGTAATAATTCAGGTAATAATGATACTAGCTATCACCTACTGAACATGTAGGTGTCCAGTGCCAGGAGCTTTCACAGGCCTCATGGAGAGATCTGAAGGCCAGAGGGGCTTTTTCCCATACCCCAAGACATTAGCATGTCCTTTAAGGCTATGGCCCCCCACCCCCCACCCCCTCTGTTCACCTGGTGAGCTTCCATTATTTTTGCCTGACCCACACCCATTGCATCCTCTTCTGGGGTCATGAGTCTCCGTTGGTAGGGAGAGAACATCCAGCTGCCTCACCCTCCTTTGGCCAAAACCTAGTGCTTCAAACTAGACTCCACTGACACTCTTTCCCTTAACCTTGCTTCCTGGGGCTCACACAGCCTCACTGATGAGTTCTGAAGTAACTTCCCACCAGCTAGGCCCTACTCTGCTTACATTCACACAGTTGATTACTGTGGCTTGTAACCAAAGAACCATAACCCAAACTGTCGTTCATTGCAACCTGGTACAGTCTTCTCATTCCTTTGTTCCGGAGACAACAAGCTGATGCTGTCTGGAATTTGCAAATTCTGCTCAGCACTCTGTGGAAGGAGGAGAGACTCAGACGCCAGGGCCATGGACCGTGGGACGTTAGAGAAAGGAAGTGCCTGACAAACAGCAAACGTGCCAAATGAATGCTTTCAGAGAAACGAGGGTTGCCTGAACACTATTGATTGTAGGCTCACTAATGGTTCGGGCTGTGAGGCTGGGTGTGACAGCTCAGCCTCACTCCGTGCTGTAATATACCGCCAAGTCAGGCCTATTTTCCGGTGTCAGCAGGGAAATGGGAGACTATTAAGGACGCACCTTATCAGGAACTGAGCTCAGTGTCACTGGGGAGACGGTGGCAATTAGCATGATGGAAGCCATGAAGCAGCCCCAGCTCCGGGCCAGGTGCGGAAGAAATTAGTAGGAAGCCTCTTAACTGACGGGTCAGCTTAGGCTCCAACAGGGAGGGGGACCCCCCCCCCCAGCAAATGCTGATGCTCCCTTTTCTCTGGCTGGAAAGATCTCCACCTCTTCTAGTTACCTTGTGATCTGCTCTCTGCACACACATCCGTTGGTGATCGTGTATCCAGTCTCCCTGCCCCAATTACACAAGCAATGACGACCCCTCTCATTTGAAGGGTGCTCTCACATGGATTATGCCGGTCAGACAGTAGAGTCATGGGCCCAAGTTTTGGAGACTGGAGTGTCTGGGACAAATGGGTGAGTAAGTCTGCTACTATCTTTCCCTCCGGGGCTCTCAAGCTAGAGGGAGCCACGGGTGAGCGTGTGAGGGGCCTTCTTTTGAAGAACTTCCCACGCAAGTGTCATCACTTCTCCGCCCTCCCATTCCAAACACACACAAGGCCAAGGAAACGGATATGGCCTGTAAGCTAAGAGGCCCATTTCCTCTTCTACATGAGTTTGCTGTGTGGCCTCAGAAAAATCCCTTTGCCTCTCTGAGTTTTGGTTTTCTCAACTATAAAATGAGGCAATTACTAGACGATCTCTGAGTTAATCCAGATCCTCCAAGACCTCCTCCAAAAAGGAGCCAAGAGGGGCTGAACACACTAGGATGTTATGAGGGAAAATGCCTGTGGGAGAAAATGTGGAGGAAACTGAGAAGGGCTGGGGGTGCCCTCAGACCAGGATGCCAGCCTGACTCTGAATCAAGAAGAGGGAGGAGGACGTGTAACTGGAAGCATCCCAGATGCCCTAAATCTAAGGAAAGGCCAGCAAGGCTGTCGGGGAGTCCTCGGGCCAAAGAGGGCTGTCAGAGGCGTCCAGTGTCTCCCAGGGACAGGCCTGCCTTAGCATCTGTGCTGTTCTGTCCTCGGGGAGCAGCCATTGGGGAGCGTGACCTCAGAATAGACGCAGGGGTGGATTTCAGAGCAAGCAGCTGCAGCCTCCTGTGGTGGGAGGCCTACGAGGTGCAACCTTCACCCCGTGTGCTTTGCTGTCTAGTGTTGTAAGAACCCTAGAGATAGGCAGGCAGCCCCAGACCCATGTCACCCTGAGCGGGTCTGGCTGGGCACCGTGCATAGCAGCTGCTCGGGGCACTCTCCGATGGCAAAGTTGGCAGGATGTTTGCATTCATGTGACACGTTGGGATAAAATGCTTCCTGTCTTCCTATTTTTGGCCTTGCTTTGGTCTTCAGAGGAGGGAAGTAGGGGCTCCAGTTTCCCGGCTGTCATCTTTGTTTGAAGTGAAGCCAAACACTAGAGGCCCTACCCTGCTTACGCCTGTCCTGCCTTCCTGGATGCCCCCACGCCTGGACCCTCCGTGCACATGTCCACACATCCGTGCATGGGAAGCGGTATGCCTTTGAGCTCCGGGCTCAGAAAAACCTTGATCTGAGTTTCCATTCCCCGCCTTCCTGGCTGCGTTACCCTGAGCAAATGACCACTTCGGTAAGCCCTGCCACTCTTATCTACGACAAGGAGGGAAATCACACCTATCTCTTAGGGTCATTGTGAGAATTAAACAAGACAGGGCACATAAAGTTTTAGCACGGCGTGGCACATAGTACATGCTCGATAAATGACACTTATTAGCGGTGTCACCTGCTGTCAGTATTGTCATTCTTGTCCTCAGTGTCATCCTCCAGTGAAAAGACACTAAGTTCTCAGAAATCTCTCCCGTGCCCAAGGAGCATTCAGACAAGGGCAAGAACATGTAAGAGCCACACTAAGATTGGTGACTAGGTTATGGTGTCCACATGGGACATTTGTCACAGTCAGGGACTGTCTCGTTCATTTCATGCCTTCGACGGGGCTTCCCTCTGGTGCCCGAGCATCTGGCTTCCTGAGCTCATGGGCAACGCACCGTGATGTGTAGAGACGGTGCTCCTGGCCTGCAGAGAGTACATGCCAGTCACCGAAAGGACCAGAAAGAAGAGTGCCGGTCCGACAGACGGAGCAGGAGGGAGAGGTGGGCCGGCCAGGCCGGGTGATGAAGAGCCCTGTAAACCATATTAAAGCACTGGACCTGGTCCTGAGGGCAACGGCTGGTGCCCTTGATGGGTTTCAAGCCGGAGCGCTATGTAATCAGATTTGTCTGACGGCTTCAGCACGCTCGACCCACATGAGCCCCCTTCCCTGGGGAAGACCTGTGCCCTGGA